AATACAGAAGAAAAAGCACCTGATTATAAGACTAAAGCCTTTAATGGCAGCTTCAAAGCCCTGCTTTGTATTCTTCTGTATGTTGTCATCGAACTCGTGTCTTGCTAATTGTCATGTAAAACTGTGTTCAATGGTAGACTCTACAGGTAAATTTCTTGGTCTGATAGATTTCACAATTACTGTCTGCTCATGCTTCCTTCCACCAAAAGATTAATATAAGCAATGATTCTTATAATTAAGCACTAGACGACCCACAATGGACTGACAACTGGATATCCCAGCTAATTCCCAGCACATCTAATGATGGTTACGCCCTCTTGAATTAAAACTACTTTATCGCTACCTCCTGGTTTCTCCCTGCTTTCCTGTTTATTACTCGGCTTTCCAAAGTCCTCTTCTAATTTCTTAGTAACCCCTACCATTTGCTCCTTAGTTTCATTCTTCCCACTCATATTCTAAGTTCCCATCCATACACCAATTCAGCTTTCATCATCCTACTAACTCCTAGTTCCGTTTCTAGCCCTAAGCTCTAAAATTACGTACCTGCCTACGTACCTACTAGACATGGCCACCTGAATGCTGAAACCGAGTTTTAGATACACTGCTCACGGTAATGAATACAAAACTATATTCACCTTTCCCTCTGAGCTTGCCACTTCGTAGAAGCTTCCTCCACCCAATTGTAGAATTGAGAAATTCAGGAGTCTTCACTGACTCCCTACTATACCTCCTCCTCCCGGAAGTCTGATGGCTGTCCCACGCCCAGGGAGCTTCCTTCCCGGTTTCTCTTGCTCTTCCAGCTTCAGCTCCTCCCTGAGACGCTCTTCCATTTACTCTGGCCACGGGATGAGCACACGATGCACTTTCCCACTATGTCAGCTAAATCCCCCTCCTTACCTTGCTGAACTGTAAATTCTTAATCTCTCAGACTCACCTCAGACATCTCCTCTTGGAAACAGAGAATTTGTTCAATATTATATTTAATGATAATAAGAATTAAAGAAACTGATTTGGTATTAGACACAAAATCCTTGTGTTCGAGCTCACAATGTAATAGAGCAAATAAGACTACAAATAATTACAGGCAGTTCTGATAAATAATCAACATGAAGTAACCACAGGTGTTACCGCAGCTGAGGAGACACACACAATTGTAAGCATTCCCTGTATCGGTTTTGCTTGGACTGAGCCTTGTAGGTGAGTAGGAATTTGTCAGATGGACAAGTTAGGTCAGAGGAAGTTCTAAAGGTACATTCTGGTCACTGCTCATACAGTGTAGCATGTAGGAGATAAGCGGGGTGAAGCTGGAGAGGGAGTGACTGTGAATATCTCATAAACGAAAGATAACTAGCAGCCATGAAGAGGTAACCCGAGATGCCAGATCAGAAGCCAGGAGAGAATCAGGCTACGACCGTCAACTGGGCCAGAAATGGTGGTCTAAAAATCAGTGGCAGTGAGATGAGAGAGCAGGGTACAGGAGAGAAGTACTTACCCTTGTTCCAGATACAAAATAGAGCACATTAAATCTTCAGAGCAAGTCTAAGAGACAGACCTTTCTATTTTTACACAAGAGGAAATTCAAGCTCCAAAGGATGTTCCTTGTTCAAGATGACAGAGTTACAAGGATTCACACCTCAGAGATCTTGCTCCTAGGCAGCCTAATGAGTGTTATCTCCAAAACACGTCCAAGTATAAACCGACAAATTACGTTTTCGTAACTAATTTCAGCCTGCTCAACTTATCAGAGTAACTCCTAAATAAAATTCCTCTTCCCAAAGAAGCATAGCAAGCATAAAGAAATACTCTAGCAGTTTTAAGAGTACATATCCTAAGATTTTAATATCATTCCAAGTCATGCACAACTAGAGTATTCTATCCAAATTCAAAGTTATCTAGTTCACATTCTCCATTAATAATTTTGCATGGGCCACAAAGTATAAAAGTAAACTTATTAGCCTATAAAATATCCACCATCCACTTATTTCAACAGTGCTAAGTATATTAAAGAAAAGTGACTTAAAAATAAACCTTAAATTTTAAAACGTGCTTAAAATACCATCCAGTCCTCCTTAGGCATTATGGACTTAATTGGAGAACAAAACAGTATTTTCAAATGCATTCACCTATTAAACTTGCTATATGTGTATTATCTTGTACTATCTACGTTTGGAAGACTATAAAATGCACACCACCTCTAATAATAAAATGTTGAAGCTAAAGGAACACAATTTCTACATTATTCTCCCTATAAAAAATTATCTAAGACCAGAAATGATCAATTCTAGAAGATATATCTACCCCAAAATTAACCAAAATAACTACTAATATAAGCAAGCCCTAAAATTTCTTTCTTTTAAAGCTTACAAAAAAGGTATAACTGTTCAACTCCAATGCTTTATTCTTATTACAGTCTTAGAAGATTTTAGTCAGGCACAGTGGCCCATGCCTATAATCCTAGCACTCTGGGAGGCCAGGGCAGGTGGACTGCTTGAGCTCAAGAGTTTGAAACCAGCCTAAACAAGAGCAAGACCCTGTCTCTACTAAATATAGAAAAAAAATAGCAGACTGTTATGGTGGGAACCTGTAGTCTCAGCTACTCAGGAGGCTGAGGCAAGAGAATCACTTGAGCCCAGAAGTTTGAGGATGCTGTTAGCTATGACTCCACAGCACTCTACCCAGGGTAACAAAGTGAGACTCTGTCTCAAAAAAAAAGTTTTAGGCCAGGTGCAGTGGCTCATGCTTGTAATCCCAGCACTCTGGGAGGCTGAGGCAGGTGGATTGCCTGAGCTCACAGCTTTGAGACCAGCCTGAGCAAGAGTGAGACCCTGCTTCTAAAAATAGCCAGGTGTTGGGGCAGGTGCCTATAATCCCGGCTACTGGGGGAGGCTGAGGCAAGAGAGTCACTTGAGCACAAGAGTTTGAGGTTGCTGTGAGCTGTGACACCATAGCACTCTACCTAGGGCAAGAAAGTGAAACTCTGTCCCAAAACAAAACAAAAAAACTTTAGACATTAAGGAGGACAAGGATAGGTCTGAACTGTTTGAGGTAAAAAGGCCTCTCATATCAAGATATATTAATGGTAGCCATAAATAAAATGCTGAGGCCAAATACACATTAAAGCATACTTAGGAACACTGCAAAACACATCATACACATCCTCAAACACAGAGACAGGAAGGCAGACACGCGCGAACACTGATAGATTAAGTGGCTGCCTCCAGCACAACATTGAGATCAGGGACAATTTGAGGCCTACCTTGGGCATGAGCACGGCACCCTGTGCTATTACCTGCCTCCAGCCGTAAGCTGACAGACTCTGTACTAGGATGCTACTATTTCTATACGAATAGGCATTTAATTGTCATTTCTCATCAGATATGCAAATCACAGGCAAGACTATTTTTTGCTCCATATGACAGAATAAACAATGAGCTAAGAGTTTTCTAGAAAGCACTAGCTAATGGATGGCTTCAGTTAAAATACATAGGATTGCATTTTTTCAAATGCTCTTATCTGGAAAATTTGGTGTGATATATATATATATATACACACACACATTATTTTAGGAGAAAACATCAGCATTTCAGCTTGATATTTTAAATAATGTCAATTATACATATTTATTTGTAATAGTAAAACTTCCCATAAGTGAGACATGTTACAGTTACCTATAAACATTCATTTTTTACTATTTACAAATTGAATAATTATGGAATGTTTGTATATTTCAACCAAGTGAGTTATAGAAAAGTCACATAAACAATATAAATCTGATGCCCAATCCTTTACAAATATGAAATTACTTTCACCGGGTCTTCAAACTGTCAAGTATAAATAGGATGAGGTCAGTTATACTTAAGATGAGGCACTTTAACAATTACTCAAAAAAGTTAACTGTACAAAAGTGTAAAACAAGACCCTTAATCTTACCCTTAATTTCAGACATAATTAATCTGAGATGGTCTATATACGGAGTGTTATAAACTTTTATTTTTTGCCCTTCTCCCTCCACTTGACCCAAGGCAGCACAACTGTGAAATACATAACATATAGACATCAGCACAGACCAGTTAATGTGCTCACATACAAATGAACTAAACATTATCTACTGACAGGTGGACTTCAGAAAGTGACTATTCCAACACTAAAACTTCTCCATAATTTTTTCATAAACGTGTATAAATACATTGATCTCCCAAAGGCAAATGGCATCACTACTGTTTTCCTAGACAAGAATGCCCTCAGATATATTAACCAAATCACAATTTTACAGTCTTAGGTACTCTTTTAAAATACTGAATTTTAAAAATACTCAAAATTTTTAAAAATCTACCCCCAATACTTTCTAGATTATAATTTTTAGTTCAAAAAAAGTAACAAAGAACAGATGTTTTCTTTTACCAACCTTTTGTAAAAGACCTTTTACAAACATACACATTTGACCAACTCGTTTTCAACCTTAAATCTCATTCTGCATATATTTACACAGATTTTGGTAGTTGAGATAATAAATACTTGATTAAAGACAGTAATTCCTATTATTTTGTGAATTTTTTGTGCTGTATTCTTCCCAACTATCTAATTTCCAGATTCCTCTATTCATAAAGAAAATGTCTGACTCAAATTTTAAAGTTCATCCAAGAGAGATTAAAATCTTGAGAATCTATAAATCTATTACCTAAGTTTTAAGTAGTAGTAGTTAAATCTCATTCTACAGTTTAGAATCTGAGTAATTTCTATAGCTCAGATATCTAAATGTCCTTTGATAAAAATGTGAGTTAGTACTCATTTAAACATGGTTAGCTGTTCCAAGTCCATTCATCAAAATCACTTGTTCAGTGTGTATGTACGCACGCATTTTTTAACTCCCTAAAATAGGCTTGCTCTTCAGAACAGAGAAACTGGCTTTCAACCACTATGCTACCAGACACTTGAATCTCAGTAGCTGGCCAATTTTCAAATACATGTTATGAAAAAAATCTTACTTAGAATGACAAAGATTAAGCTTGGCAAAAGTAGTGACTTTTATTTACAACTGCATGTCTCAAGATTACAATAGAAACACTAGTGATACCATCTGAACAAAAGCAATGATTTATTGGTAATGGCCATGAACGAAACACTGACAGTCTCTGGCGAGAATCGAGCAACTATCCAGGAGCCATAGGTCTGACTGCAACGTGGTCGTCCACTGTCTTTGCGCCTTAGTGGCTTTCTCCTTTTTTGCCAACTACCTAGAAAAACAAAAATAACTTTATATATACATCTTATTGATTTAAAAACATGGGTTATTTCTAAAATTTCTAATATGGTAATCAGTTTAAAAACCTGGCACTAATTTTTATACTTGGAACTTTTCTGGCATGCAGTGTTTTTTCCCTGGTGAAGCAAACTATGACCCCCACTTCCTATCTCCTCCCAGACACAAGAAATTAAAAATAAAACACATGCAGGCTATTTCTGGGTTCCCATACTGTTTAAAGAAAACATAATGCAATTTTTCAAAACCAGGTTGACAGTTTAGAGAAGTTAATAAGAAAGATGATGCTATATGAGTAAAACGTATTTGGCATACTGTTTTAGACAATTAGAAATCAAACATCGATCACAAAATGATCTGGAATTAGAAAATATGCTAATTCATGTTTTCATGCCCAAAATAACAGGATTCTAGACTTTTCCCTCAATATGCAGACATGCAATGAAAACATTAAAAAAAAAATCACTAAATTTTTCTGGTTTCTTAAAAAAAAAAAACCCTCTGGTTGCTACAAATATACTATAAAAAGTGTAAAGAGTACATCTTATTTCTGTAAATAATTAGAAAAATCCTCTGTTAGAAGTTTTTTTTTTTAATTTCCTGGTTGCTATCTATGAGGTAGCAATAAAAACGTAAAGAATAAACTTTTCCACAAACAATTCTAGAAAATAAATTCTCTCTGGGAGGGTTTTAGAATTGTGTTCTATTTGAGTAATCTACTTCATATCTAAAGTTCATCATTAAATAATTTATTCTCATAGCAGAAATTCTCTAAAGAAAGCTACTTGCAAGATATTGAATGTCTGTTTTTATAGAAAAATATTTCTATATAAATTTATAAATGTAATTTTCTTTGCATATTTTGAATTGATTCTTTCTTTAAAGTACCAAGCAAAAGTCATAAAGATCGTCATACACAGCTGGGTCAGTGTCATTTACAAGATGATTTAAAAACTCCTCATACTGAATCCCCAATCACACAATGCTAGAAATGCTTTTTTCCCCAGCTTAAGAAAAACCACTTTCATTACTTTAAAGTGGTCCCTCTGGTCCAAAGAAACCATATGAGAAAGCCCAACAAGCCAGAAAGATGATAAAAAGATGACAGCTTCCTAAAAGAGCCTGTGGATTAAGAGTAGGGAAATTCAGGCTTTAAGAACCACTAGAAGGAAGCAGAGGTGGCGCTATTTTTTGTCATGAATGGATTTAAGCTGATAAACACTGGAAGCATTAATTGATCATTATATTACTTGGTAAACACAAAACACAAAGCTATTAGATTACACAAAAGGAAACAAAAACTATTAAAATTTAAGCAGATGTGATACAGAAGACACAAATCTGCATACTGTCTCACAGGTTGATAACTCTCAACTTGCCAATATGTATTTTCTGTAAAAAAGAAGAAATTCAACATTCCAATATGGATTCTCACCCCAAACATAAGTCTTTTATTCACTGTTAAGTCTTTATATTACACCTCAGACAAATAAAAATCTAGGTACATCAAAATTAGGTGTCCAAGATATTTATTCAGTAGAGTCCGTCGATCTTCTATGTTAATATTTTAACCAAGCCTTGCATTCAGTCCATAAGTCCTTCAACTGGCCTCGAGCTCACTTGGGTAGGCAAAAGCTGAGGACACACCCACAATCAATCTTCAGAAAGACTCTGGGGGCTAATGCTCCAATGAAAAAAGAAAACCCACACCCCTCAACTAAAACGAACCAATATATTAACACTAATATAAAAGAACTTGATGAAGTTTTATATTTACTCTCCAAAATGATTCTATAGTTCCTAAAAAATAAAATTTTAACTTTAGAATGGATTAAAATATTATTCAACAACTAGTTAAATCTGAAAGCATTTATAACAAATTTAAGTTTTACTGCAATATTACTTCTCAAAATGTAGTAAAAAAATTAAATATGAAACAGTAGAAAGTAAAAAAAATAATAACAGAAGGTCTGGTGAGCAACATGGTATGGTGATGAATTAAAGCCCAAAACAAAAACCAAAACAAAAGGCCAATGGAGAAACATGACTAGGATGAGATTTGAAGAAAGAGATGGTTGAGGAAATCTAGGTAATAGGAAGGCTGATCCAGATGATAGAAGCTGTAGAAATCTTGCCCCCACAATGGCGAGAACATGGGAAGGGTGAGAGCAGACAGGTGCTAGATGAGCAGAGAAGCAAGGAGGGGAGTAGAGTGAGACAATGTCAATCTTTACATTACTTCATTTTAAAATATCTTCTGTTTTTAGTTCATTTGAGTTGGATTAAAAAAGCTGAAAAATAAACAGACAGAAATGTTACAAAAATAGCTGATATGGTGAATAGCCAGTTTAGAAAAGTATTTTTAATACAGTGAAAAAAATCCGCTCTGCTTTTCACATGCACCTCATTTCCTAAGAAGCAGAAGCCCCTACGATTCTCATTTTTATACACTTATATTTTAATACTTTGGTATTAAAATTAAGTGATCCATCTAAGGAGCATATTTTAGCAAAGAAAACATCTACTTCCAATTAAGACAGCAAGCTTTTCATGCTGCAACATAAAGAATCTCTTCACAACAACAAATAGCCAAAACCTGTGCATGATGCCTGTAAGAGCCAAAAACAGACAAGTGGAGGGCATGTTCCAGTCTATCAGATCTTAAAAGTATAACCTTATAAAGGTGTAATAGCATGCAAGGTGGTTCTAAGATTTCTATTCACATCCAAGATTCAACAGCATTACCTTAGCTTCTGTCATCTTAGTGACATAAGGTAACAGTCTGAAAACTAAAATTATCTAGAAACAACTCACAGAACGTAAAAATATAAATTGAAAATCCTAAACATTTAATCTACTTTATGACTCATTGAAACATTTCATAGAGCTCTCTTCACTACACAAATGTCATCAAAATTTTCTTCCCTGTGCCTATAAAATATACACCAAACCTACTTTAAATCAATTTTTAATTCTAAGTATTATATATAATCACTTTTATTCTTTTTAATTTGGGGGGGAGCAGAATCACACTCTGTCACCCTGGTAGAGTGCCTGGTGTCACAGCTCACAGCAACCTCAAACTCTTGGGTTCCAGAGCTCCTCCATAGCTGGAACTATAGGCGCCCGTCATAGTTCCAGCTCAGCTAATTTCTTCTATTTTTAGTAGAAACAGTTTTGTTACTGCTCAGGTTAGTCTTAAACTCCTAAGCTCAAGCAATCCACCCACCTTGGCCTCCCCAAGTGCCAGGATTACAGGCAATGGCCACAACTTCCAGCTATTTATAGAGATGGAGGTCTCAACCTTTGCTCAGGCTGGTCTTGAACTCCTAAGTTCAGGCAATCCACCCACCTTGGCCTCCCAGAGCGCTAGGATTACAGACATCAACCAACATGCCTGGCCTGTATAATCACTTTTAAATGCAGACTGGTCAAACAAGTAAAGGGAAAGAAGCACCACACATAACTTGTCTTCAAATGAATCCTGCACCTTCCCACTTTCCTGGCAAAGTCCCTACTTTCCCTTTCTTCCTAGGCCACCACTGTCTTTTCCTTTGTCCAAATTCTACTCTCAAAACTCAACTCAAGGCCCTCTTTCTCCATAAAAAATTCTCAGACTTTCCCAGTCATTGTTGGGTAGAAGTATGACTGGACTAGGATAGTATGAGAATATTTTATGGAGGAAAAGACCCTTGAACTAAGCTTTAATTTTGATTAACTTTCCTTATATCTATTATCCTACGATTTTTTTTTTTTTTTTTTTTTTTTTGCAGTTTTTGGCCAGTGGCCAGGGCCAGGTTTGAACCCACCACCTCTGGTATAGGGGGCTGGCGCCCTACTCCCTTGAGCTACAGGCACCACCCACTACAACTATTTTCGTGCCTTGAGAGGATCTTAGGTGTACCGCAAAAATTTTTAAAGACCATTAATTAAATTATTTTCAAAAAAAGTTCAAAGCACAGTAAGTATATTCTTTTTTTACTTTTTTTTGATCAGCATAATTTAAGTGTGGCACAGAAGTTTAATTAAGATCCAAGTGTGACAGCTCGGCACCTGTGGCTCAAGTGGCTAAGGCGCCAGCCACATACACCTAAGGTGGCAGGTTCGAATCCAGCCCAGGCCCACCAAACAACAATGACGGCTGCAACCAAAAAA